GATCCGCGCGCGGACGGTCCTGAAGGGTGGCTGATACCTTAATGAGAATTTCTTCAAATATTTGACGCCGGGAATATCTCTTTTTGGAACAATATCTTCAATCTAGAGCTCATTCTGTCTTGCTTCAATTTTATTAGCTCAATTTACTCTCTCACCATGGTCAGAATAACGACTGAAGCAACTGATGTCTGTAGCAATGAATATACTAAGGTAAGAACATTTAAGGAAAGTACAATGAGTCATCAATGACCTCGGAATCCTGAGTCGGCTCGATCGTCGCAATATCGAGCAATCCGTGAACATATCTGGTCTTGGAATGCTAATAGTCGAGTACGAGATGAAATCGAATCAGGGAAAGAAAAAGAAAGACTACCTTAACGTTAGTTACCTAACCATATCTTTTTATTTAATATATTTCAGTCATTTTCTAGTCATTGTTTGGGTAGAAAATAATACATTTTACTCCAATTCAGAGTATATATTAAAAAAAAACGCTACTGATAATCACTGTTTTTGCTACTTCAGTGAAAGACCTTTAAGAAAGCGAGTGATTGATTAGAACTATCTTTCTCACTTAGGCTCAAACAACTAAAAGAAAAGACACCTCCTTCCGTTCACAAACGCGATATTTTAATTTCGAAAATGATGAACATTAATCCATAGGGGCTAACATGATACTAAATAGACAGACTTCTCAGCGGGAGGGGTGGGCATCCGTTGGTAAAGAAATCAGGGAATCAAATTTTAAAAAGTGTTTTTGGTTAAAAGCTATGTCTAGTCTGCACGTCCCAGACATTTGACTGAGCGTCATTTCCATAAGAAACATTTTAAAATACCTAGCAAGAATTCTGCTCAAATCATATCCACTGTTGTTTTATATTTACCATATGGGTTTATAAAATGTCCTACAGTGTGCAGTAAACTTGTTCACGGTCAAGTTGTTACAAACAAGAGATTATTTCATTCGAAACTAATCAAAGTGAATTCTTCCAAATTTAAATTATAATCGATCAATTCTCTTCAATCTGTTCATTCGTTCACTTAGATTTTGAGGGCTATTAAAGTCTGTTAATTAATTCTCGATAAAAACAATTTATAATTCCTTCTCAGATTGTCCCTATCCAAATCAGCTCCATTCTGCTTCTGTTACTAATATAATTTCTGTTGATCGATAAAATTTTAATTAAACCTTCTTGTCCCTTAATTTGAATAATTGGTAGAATAAAATCAGATCAAGAGGCCTTTAACTCAAAACAATAATTTCCTCGGGGTCTTCTCTGTCTTCCAAAGTCAAAAGCCTAGATCTCTGTCTTTCCTCCCTCTGCTGTCTTTTTCCAGACGAAGCTATACTCGAGGCATCATCTCCCACACGACTTGATTGCGTAGACATTATTACACTTGCAGATTCTAAGTCTTCAGTGTTAGCCGGAGTGTGGCCATTAGCTGTGCTGGTCTTTTCATCGCGTTTACAACAGCCATAGCGAACTCTGGCGAAGTTTGCGACGATTATCAGTAAGTTCTTAAATGCAAAAACTGACGCACCTGCTTTGTATTTGTAGTGAACGACCAGACGAATAACTAAAAAAGGAAAATTTACGAGAACTGCTTGGACAATAATGTAAATCGTATATATTATTTCTTGCGTTTCATTCGTCTCGTCGGTGTTGTTCAAAGCTTCTCTGACAGGCCCTGCGAAATTGAAGGTCAAAATTATAAGACTGACGATCACAAACGCGCAAATGCAGTAGTCTATGTCACGCGGTAAAATTGCGTTCTTTCGAGGATCAATGATTGCATCCAGAATATCTACAATGTCCAAAATATCCAAAAGAATGGGCCAGTTCAGGTTCATATGCAATGCTATTTCAAACTCTTCAGCATCTAACAGCATGTACACTATTGCTGTGAGCGACAAAGGATATTTCAGAAATCCGTGGTCGAGCCCGGAAGATTCTACGTCGATTTTAGACATCAGAGTACCGAGAATCCATCCCGAATGTATGCAGAGAGACAGAATATACAGGAACCAAACACCTGAAGCAACTTCGCCCTGTGTAGAGTTCATTTGTCCTTTTACCCATAGCAATACCGCAGGTGTGTAAGCAAGCGTGAAGGCCTGAAACGAGGACTTGTTCGCGTATAGTACCAAATACTGGTTTAAAAGCACAGCCTGAGTGAGTATAACAGAAATGAAGATGAATCGTCCAATCCACTGAAAGAGTACTGTCCGGCTGACATTAAAATTAAGATTATGTTTACACATTGTGCTGTTTGTATAGAACAGACTGAACTGTTTAAAAAGATAAACAACAGATTCTTGCCCAGGATCCCTTGCGCGCGCAAGCTCACGCACGGCTTGGACTTAGTTCAACAGAAGAAGGGATTATCTCTGTCTGAGGGCGCAGGGCTACATTGTAGATTTTATTGTGGTAACAGTGAAAAAAAATTAAAGTTACCGGCGTACTAGTGAGGCAATGCTTAGTTAATTCAATCCAAATTCCTTATCATAAACTCTGTTTAATATGTTCCTGCGCATAAAATTGCATACGGTGTTGTACTTCGGTTTTAACAATTAACATATAGTACTTGAATTGCCAATCTGATAAGATGTATATATTCAGTAAATCTAAGGTCACATCACAAAAATATGCGACACACGCGCCGACAAAAAAAAATGAAGTCTTTCCCTAACTTGAAGAAAGAAGATGAAGGAAAGGAAGTCGTCAGCAATGAATTTAGCTAACTAATCCTAGGGGCGATAGATGTAATGGTGGAATTCTAAAATTTTTAACTTTGGAAACGTTGGACCAATACACATCACACTTGTCAACGTTTTTCTGAACAGACATCTCTAACAGATGCAAATGTTCCTTGAGGACAGATTGTCATCAGCGTAAGTGAAAAAAGGATGGACCACAGACGAAGCTAATGTTCCGGAGGTGCTTTGGAAGATGCTTACAGATAGGATCCTGTCAGACTTTCTGGCACTGCTTTTAAGATGATAAATTCCCAATTTATTATTTACTTTTAATACTCTACAAGACTGACACCTTTGTAAAGCAGACACCTAGAGTTAGTTTCTGCCTTTCCCTCAGTCATTTTCTCCAATGATTTCTAAGCGAAGGCAAACAACTACACACCACTTCATGTATACCGGCACTGACTACAGACGGGCAATGATTTCCTTCGTAGAGTGAATTTACTGTACAAACTGGCGGGTATGAGAGTATGTGGCTGATTCTTACAGCAATTACTACGGAATATAAAACTTTTCGTCCTTTTTTCGAAAGAGCAGAGAAAAATAAAAATTAAATGCAATGAACAACCTGTTTCAAAGGGAAATGAGCGGGCCGTCACCATCATGAATAATGGAATTTATCTGCATATCTTGGCTATTGGCAGTTTAAAAACGTTTTTTTTGAAACAAACAACTAAGTGAAGTTATTTCTGGGCAGTGAAAAACGACGGAAAAGGCGTTAGGCCGGACTTGAATTCGAAGCGGCTGTCCAGACATGCGCAATCATGTTCAATTTGTTTAATTTTTTTTTCCTCAGAAAACTCACTCTTGTTGCTATGGAACCAAACGTTAGGGATGAAATTACCTCCGTAAATCGGGTCCCCGCGACAAACATTTGTGTCTCCCGAGCGTTACACTTAAATTTAAAAAAAAAAAAAAAACTCTTTGGTTGAACTTGCAGTATTCAAAAGTAAATGTAAATGTAGTAATTTAGTCTTCTTCCATTTTGCCCATTCGGGCCTTATTTTGTATAGTGCTGCATGTTTATTATCATTATCTTAAAGGATTTTAAAAACCTTCCTTCCTCCCTTGTATGCTTAAGTACCAACCTACCCCTCCCCTAAGCCAACATTAACACTTACCTTTCACTTAGGGCAAAATGTTGGTTTAGGGGAGGGGTAGGTGGGCCAGCTTCCCAGAAACGTATCATGATCCCTGTTGGTTTTAAGAGGTTATACTTGTCTTTTGCTCTATTTGGAAACAATTTCACTTCCCAACAGTTGACTTTTCCTAAATCTCGAGACACAGCTCGGAATCTTGACTGACTGGTTTGCTCGTAAACGCAGCAATATAGGTTTGCTGGCACTGTTGTCAGGCTATTAGGAAAGCCATTTTCAAAACTGTCATCTTCACATTGCTGCAAAGCTCATTTAGCACATAATTTACCCTAATCTCAGGACATAGGCTTAGTCTAATGGGTATTGCTGTCACAAACGACCATAGGAGCAAACAACATATACAGTTAAGAAAATAAGTATATATTTAATAAAAATGAAAAAGGAAATTAAATTTGTAAAAAACCTGCAGCTTTTCGTTTATTGTGATAAATTGAAATGAAAATACCACAAACTTTTTGGCAGTTACAAAATTAAACGATTGAGGGTAAAGATGTACTCATATCTTTAATTAAAACTGTTTTCAGGGCATACATGTTTTAGTTACGTTGATATCCGCTTAGTTTATAGCCCCGAAATTTAATCTGCGGGCTTGTTCAGTATGGAGGCACCATCTGCGGGACAGATATTGCTTGACAGATCAGAACAAAGAAATATATTACAATTATATATTTCCTTGGGTTTATCTCCATGCGAATATAGAATATGCGTCCTGATATGGAGGACTTTTATTTTATTGCAAGGACTCCCTCGAGATAATTAAAAGGTGTATCGGCAGCTAGTATTTCCTCTGTTGCATTGATATGTAGCTTACAATTTATTATAGGGAATTTATCCTTTTATTGCACCGTTTAAATTGTTAGGCTACATTTAGTTTATGCTAATTGTGGAACAGGTTGAATAAACAAACGTCGTCTCATACAAATTGCTTTTTTTAAAAAAAAAAGTTGAAACCGCCGGCGAAGTTGGGCTTTGAAGAAAAGTAGTTCTGACTAAAAGACGACAAAATAATGAGCAACTTTACTGGCGGTAAAATCTTAACTTTTGAAAAGGAAGTTTGTGTTTCGTCTTCCGGTGAAGAACCTATAATGAGATTCCTTATTGCAATGAACATATTTTTATCTTTCACTGCATTATTAGGAAATTCTATTATCCTTGTTGCCCTTAAGGAGTCATCCCTGCATCCTGCATCCAGACTTTTATTCATCTGCCTGTCGTGCACCGACCTGTTAGTTGGTGTTCTTCTAGAACCCTTCAACGTGGTCCATTTGTTTTTGTCCATGCAAGGAAATCAAGAGCTCTGCAGTCGAATGTTAGTCCCAAGTTATATCATCGGCGTAATTCTTTTTGGCGTTTCTATCTCAACATTAACTGCCATAAGCGTGGATCGACTTCTGGCATTGCTGTTGAAGCTAAGGTACAGACAAGTTGTAACTTTGAAGCGAACTTGTGCGGTAATAGCATTTATATGGCTCCTGAACGTCTTCGCTGCAACCATGTACTTCTGGGTTCATTTTATTTTCCTGTGGTATGGCTATATACTGATAATAGCCTGTTTTATAACCTCAACTTCCTCGTACACAAAAATCTACTTAACTCTTCGCCTTCATCAAAGACAACAAGAACGGTTTTCCCACGAACAACCGCTGAGAAGAACTGGAATTCCACTGAATGTAGCACGATTCAGAAAAACAGTGTCCACAGCTCTCTGGGTGCAGTTAACATTAGTAGCCTGTTATCTTCCGTATGGTATAGTAACAGCCTTAATGACTAGCCATGGTTTGTCTCCATCTATTATTCTTGCTGGCAGGTTTGCCTCAACTCTTGTCTACCTAAACTCGACCCTGAATCCTTTGTTGTATAGCTGGAAGATAAGAGACGTCAGAGAGACAGTAGAGGCAAAACTACAACAACTGATGAGTTGTGGTCAGTCTAGAGTTCAGGCTTTCTGAAGCAATGTAAGGACAACTAATGAAAGAACAGATTACGCACATATTTCTTACGTCTACTTCGGCCCGCAGTAACTCAGACAAAGCTTTCCATGCAAACAGTTTCACAGAGTTTCAGACTTGCATTTGCCTTTGTTAAGCTGTAAAATACGCTTCAAACAGGGAGGGAGTTTAACTTGCACAATGACGGATGAAGCAGAATGAACAAATAATAAAAACGCGTACAGTAAGGAGAGGATTCTCTTCTCGCTACTTTATTCAATTGCAAGGCACTGAATACCTGAAATGCGAACAGTATCATAACCAGTTTATCACTCTCTCGTGTGTATATTTATAATAATAATATTTAATTTCTTCTGATAATGATTAGGATATGGGAGGGCAGGGAAGGGCAAGAACTAGTAACAGCCCAGTGCGCATGCGTTAGACTTTAGTCTCTTTTCTCTTTCCTTTCCCGCCAAATTTTCTGTGCTCACGAACATTATGGTAAGCAGATGTTTCGATAGAGATGCAATGTAGTCCTCACTTATAATTTGGCAGTTCAGCCTTTTTCTCATCTTTTTGGCTCCCCCAGGGGGGGATTGCTTATTTCTAGCGATGCCAGGAAAAACTGTATTTAAAAATTATCCACCGGTAGCAAAGGTTGGAGAACTAGCTTGGTCCAAACTAGTAACTGGTTTTTATAACTTGAATACTATGACGCGACTATTTTAATCCTCTGTTTGAGCACCTGGGATTGCCTGGTGGACGAAAGACAAAACGGAATGACGTCAAACAAAAGTATTATAGCTATGTAAGTTACGTGGATTGATTCGGAGTAAAATATAATGATCAGGAAATTTTCTTCTTCTTCAAATATGATTAGAATCGCACTTACGTGTCATTTGTTTGCAAATATTTTGATAAAGGTGAATATTTTGCATATGCCTCAGGATTTAGCCAACAGTCGACTATCTAAAAGTAAACTGTACTGACAAATTTCTATATTCAACTTTAGACAATAGAGGTGCCGAAAAGAAAAGAAAACCTTTTGAAAATAACTGACGATCTTTTGATCGACCTGTCGATGGGTGATTTGTTGATGCTAACAGGATCGGATACTGATATATATCAGTTTGACTAAAAGTTTTTATACGTCATGAAAATACTTTCTCAACAAACAATATAATATCTTGGGTGTAACCATAACTTACAATAGAAAGCGTTCAACCTTACAAATAGTGTAATTTTGTTTCTGTTCATTTGAAGAGCTTCCGACGAGCGAACTAGTGATAGCTTTGTTAGAAGTACGGAGTAGTCGTACATTTTGCGCGCGAAGCCTGCAGTTGAAATAGCTTTGAGTTTATGAATATTACTAGGTTTGATTGCTGTACTTGAGACAGGTGCATGTGCGAATCTGGATATTAAAAAATAGCGTGGACACAGTTTCTTCAGTGTCGCAATCGATAAAATGTCGAGCTTAAATAGAGATGAATTTGGACCCACGGCAATCATTAACAAAGCAAGTTCAACTGCATCAGGAATTCTTATGTTCCACGCTGGCTTGAATGTTTTTCTCTCCATTACCGCGGCGCTTGGTAATCTTCTGATCATTGTCGCGCTTCCTAGGGTTTCCTCAGTTCACCCACCAACAAAGCTGCTGTATCGATGCCTGGCGATTACTGATCTACTCGTCGGTCTCATATTAAACCCACTGCACACAATTCCTATTGTGGCATACCTAACCGAAGTTAACTGGAAACTTGTGCTGTATGCTCGAACCATCGCATTTGTTTTCAGCTTTGTCTTGTGTGGAGTGTCGATTTTTGTATCCACCGCTATAAGCGTGGACAGACTTCTCGCTTTATTGCTAGGATTCCGGTATAGACACTTGGTAACATTATGGAGAGTACGAGCTGTTGTAGTTGTCTTTTTCAGCCTTGGTGTTTCCTTTTCTGGAACAGACGCATTGCCCTAATTATATCACTGGGTTTAGTGCTAATTTCTGTAATCATATCTATACTCTCCTATTCAAAGATCTTCTTTGGACTACGACAGTATAGAGTCAGAATTCAAGACCTTATTAACGCAGAACAACCAAGAGAAAGAAGGGCCCCACTGAACATATCGCTTTACAAAAAGACTGTCTCTAGTATAATTTGTGTTCAATTAGCGTTAGTTGCTTGCTACGCTCCGTTTGTTATTTGTGTTGTAACAATACGGATAAAAAGATGGTCAGGAATGTACGCACATATGGTTTGGTTGTTTTCGGGAACGCTTGTCTACTTAAACTCCTCACTCAACCCGATTCTCTATTGCTGGAAGCTCAAAGGAGTAAGACAAGCGGTAAAAACGACAATCAGACGTTTTCGTTGACACTGATCAACCCAAAATATTATTTAATTACGGGTTCATCAGAGCAGCCAAGAGGTTGTGTACATAAATAAACTGTTCACCAAATTCAAAACGGAAAAACTCTATAATTAAGTCAACGAATGTAGTAATATACTAGTCAGATTTAATTGAATTTTCATTCCATTAATATAATTACTGGGGAAATACAGAGTAGATTATTGCTCGATAATTGTGTTCAAAGCTGTAAAAAAAAGGGAACAATGCTAAATGATTTTCTTGCAATTGAAAACAATCCAAAGTCTTTAATGTGCTTGTATAGTTACTGACGCATCACTAGAACATAGAATAAAAATGATTATATGTTTACATTATTCAGTTTTGTTGAAGGAAAATAAGCATTCAGCTGCTGTTGTTCATAAATACTGATCATCACGTAATCTAATTTGCGGTGATCAAAATCGACGAAAGCTCAAAGTTGTTCCTGTCTATTTTTAAAGTTTGTCAATGATCAGTTAAACCTTCTTTTTTTCAATTTCTTCTGTGACAGACTGTCAAAGTAAAAGTGAACTAAAGTACAGATTCAAAGTCAATTTTAATATTTCCGTCACTGACGAAGGACTAAACAGAAATCCCACGTGTTTTATATTCAAGTTCCCGTCTATGTTCATGCGCATTAATTTAAAAAAGGAGGAGAAATTTACTAGAAGACGCTGCGTCTCAAACTCAATAATAAATCGTAAAAAAAAATACAAAGGAAATTAATGTTTGATAAGTGTTTGGCCTCAGATAAAAATCTTCTCTTTGTGCACCCTTAATTTCTTACTTCTAAAAAAGTCATCAGTCTTGTTCCCAGTCGTCCTCGGCGATTTCGGATGTGAGGTTACCCGTCAAACACAAGTCGAGACAATTCACGTGATCTAATTGCACAGTATAACCAATCATAAAAACACGCCGGGTTTGGAAGGATTACACGCCCCAGACAACAGGGAAGGTAGCTTAAATATGAGTAATGATTTGTGTCTCTTAGCCAGAACTGCAACAAATTAAGTGTATCTGGTAACAATGACCTTCACCAAGAGAGAGCTGATGTTGCCTTCACTTCTCTGCGTTTCCAATACTATAATAAAACGGATTCGGTGAAGAGTTCAAAAAGATTAGTGTCGCAACAAATGTCCAAGTTATCCCTGCGTTGGTTCCATTCCAGCCATGGATCTCAGAAACTACGATAACGCAGAAACCGAAGGAGGCGTAGCGGAAATTTAATACCAAACCAAGGATGGCGCTAAAGAAACCTCCTCCAGTTTTGGTCTGGTATTATTTTGTACGTGATGTTGTCGCAGTCTGCGAACGAATCAGTAAGGCTATAATCACGGAGAAAAGCTTGCCAACGAAAACATAAATCGAGCCTGCTGCAATACCAACGATAAAGAAAACAAGTAAAGTTATGTGGATTCGCCGTAGAGTATATATAATGCAACGAGGACTTCAACGGTGGATACAAAAATTGCATAAAACAAACTAAAGCGATGATGGCCCATTCGCCAAGTTTATAATCCAAAATAAGAGATAAATAAATTAAGTCCAACATGAAAATCAATTAGGAATTGCGATGATGGAAAGAGAAATAACGTCCAACATGAATTTTTTTTTTCTTTTTTTATTGGCCGAGAGCCTATCGCTTGACCTGCAAATGACTGCCTCCAAATAATGGTCTGCTCATGCGCAAAGTCGTCCAACAGTGTTCGGCTTGTGTTTGGCTGCAAGTATTCTGCTCATGCGTAAAAGAAACCACGGGTTCTCCTTCTTGTGAACGCTCTTGCGTAAAAATGGCAGATCGCTTCGCTTCCCGAGAGTATTCATTAAAAAACAAACTCGGTGATCGAATGATAAAACAATTATTGAACTCAGTTAGCGCAAAATATCGTGATTTATTTGTCATGTGTACAATCAAGATTTGGTTGGTTAACATTGGGAAGACGAGGACATTCTCGCGGCCTGCTGGCGTCTCCCAGTCTGCACTGCGTCTTCGCAGCTCCTCTTCCAAAACTTTCCTCGCGAGAACGATCTCGCAGGCTACGCAGGCTACAGAAGTAAAAACAGCGTTCGGTGGAAGTGCCCCAACTATTTTTGTCTGAGACTGTGGCTATGAGGGGTTATAAAGGCGATTTAAATTAGTCAGAAACAGAGACATATTCTGAATGAATGAATAATAATAGATTTTATTTCTTTCAACTAAATCAACCATTCGCTAAGTTATAATCCTTTTGCTTTTATTATTGAGCTTAACCCGTGAGGTTGTTTGCATTCGTACAAACAACGTTTTGCTTTTATGATAGCATATATTAACTGCGATTTGTAGACACTGTATAGCCGCAAAGGAGTGATGAAATAAATACATAGTTTGAATATGGCATAAGATATGTTAAAATATATAGTTTACCTCTAGACGTTTTGAGCTTAGGTACACAGTCTTTTTTTCTTTTTTGCACGTCAATTTCAAACACAACTGATTACTCATATTTGCCATGTAGTTTTCCTTTACTTGGTCAGGCATTTTATTAAGCAAACTTAAAGTAGGTTTCTAATTATTGGTGCTTTGAATTAAATTCTAGTGTGACAATTGAAACAAGAGTTATAAATAAGGTACAGTATACCATCTTTAGTTAGCTTTATGCAGTTAAAATTCTTACTTTTCAAAATTGTTGTCCCGAAAGAATCCTTATAGATGTGACCAAAGATCCTTTGGTGTAACTATTTAAATTACTTCTCCTTACAGTGCTTTTAAATGGTACTATTTTGAGTAAATTAAAAGGGAATCCTAACTTTGAAGTCTGTTGATCATCCTATCGCCCCGTGTAAGGGAATCCAAACCAGCCTTATATTCTACATTCCACGCCGTGGATTCCGGATTCTTTGTCAGTTGACCTTGGTTCCTGGATTCCAAATTCCATGAGCTGTATTTCGAATTCCAAAGCCCAGGATTCCTCGAATTTCCCAAGCAAAACTTTCCCTGGTTTCGGATTCCACAAGCAAAGCTTTCCCCGATTCCGGAATCCGGATTCCTTTGCGTGGGGCGAAAAGGAGCCTGAAAGTAGGCTTACGTGCGAGAGTCTGGCGCAAATTGAAGGGGGGAGCCTCCAGCGCGAGCCGCCCCGCGCGAAGCCCCAGCGAGAAGAACTGATCGGAAGAATGGGGCGGTGAAAGGTTCAGGTTAATAGCAAATCCTATCTAGTAGTCATATAGTACAATACCTTAGCATAGTACCATTTAGTGAAGCATTTCTATGTTTAAAAAAAAGAATGATAAATGGCCCTTTTTTTCACTTTTATGGGACTCGTGCAGATGAAAAAGTTAACTTGATTTACAACAAATGTATCTTCTGATGGCGGCGCTCGCTGCTTGTCTCACTTCTCTTAACTTCCAGCAGTAAAGAAATGGGTTCAAGGATGAATTAAAGTACACAAAAGTCCCAGAAAACGTCCAAAACATTTCGGAATAAAATCCAGTCAAATTATTTACCTTTATAACCACAATACCTACAATAAATGGAGTGTAGCAAGCAATTAATGCCAGTTGTACCCAAGCAATGCTAGAGACTGTCTTTTTGTATTTTGCTATGTTTAGCGGATTCCCCCCTCCGTTAGGTTGTACTTGGTAGATGCGACTCTGCATAATACTTTGGTGCTTCCTTAATGTACGAAAGATTGTAACGTAAGAAAAAGTTGAGATAACTATGGAAAATGCTACGCAAATTAGAGTTATAATCAAGGCGTATATTTTATCCACGAAAACGTACACTAACCCTATTGAAACTGCAAGGAGAAGAAAGCCAAGTATGGCTGCCCGAATTCGAGATAATGTTACAACCTTTTTGTATCTCAGCCGGAGCTTCAGAGCGAGAAGTCTGTCCAAACTTATGGCAGTTGATACGAATATTGATAATCCACACAAAACAAAACTTAAGACGTACGTCGCATGATCAAGGTGGTGTCCAATTATCCTCAGCTGATAATCTAAAATGAAGCCGATAACATGGAGTGGGTGAAGAATAAGGCCAACAAATAGATCACAGACTGCCAGGCATCGAAATAACAACTTTGTGGGCGTGTGAAGGGAAGACACCTTCTTCAGAGCCACGAGAATCAGAGAATTGCCCAGAATTGCTATTATGGTAAGAAATACATTCAATCCTACATGAACTGCAATAACCGCTGGTGATAATTTGCTTAATTCGTCTTTTGATGCGTCTCCAATAAAAGTTGCCATCGTTGTATTTAGGTGTATTTACAGTTTGAAGAGATTATGATCCTCCTAATTTTAACTTGTACAACCACGAGTCGTACTTACAGCTTCCAAGCTGGCACTTTAACTTTAATCTCTTTGCGCTGCACAATTTCTTCAAAGGGAGAAGTAGGCTTCCATTGGCCAAGCGAATTATCCCTGCCTACTCTTTTGAGAAGATCTATTTCAAGTCAGCTTGAAATTTAGAAATTAATTCCGCTGCTAAGTGCGAAAATTCAATTGCTTTCCCTTTGAATATTCAAAGGAAATGCCAACGGTCCCGTCTTGTTTTTATGCTTGTTTGAAGTTTCAATAGTCAATCAGACTTTGATGTTATTCTCC